AGTCTAGTGTTGATAACCTTTTATACATACTGTACATGTCAACTTTTGAATCTCCTCTTGGGATTATACACGCCTATGTTGTCCTGACTTTTAGGACCAATTAGTTGATGCAATCTTGAGGTGAACCTTGTATTCATTGAAGGTCGGTTGAATGAAAATTAATTGTGTTTTATACATGTATGACTGTACTTAGATTGATAAGCGATACTTGACAATTACGTAAACTATTAGCTATTTGAGATCACACTGTACAAAGACCAGAAAAAAAATAACAACAAATTTGTTCACCACACATTTCAGTAAAGTGTTTTTTTAAAGAATTTTTGTCATAATTTTAGAAAAAGTTTAAGAACAATTTTCAGAATAAAAAATGTTGTTTGCAGAGTTTGTTTGTCCTGACATGTACTGATCAATAAGTAGTTGGCATCACTTGGATGTCAGATAATTGGTTTAATGCACTAATTTTCAGCACAGTCTTTAAAAGCTTGTATTTTCAGTCTTGTTAAAAATTGTATTTTACTGAAACTTGATAACAACTTTTCTTTTTTAGTAGGGGTTTGCTTAAAAAAAGACATGTATATACTTTTTCAGAAACCCTGTATTCTCAGTACAGATTAATATTTTTGATCTCTTAGTCCGTGTTAAAAAGCTGTTTGTGAAATGCGACTACAGTCAGTGTCGCCATGGTTTGAATTGACTTCAAAAGTAATACTCATGTCACCAATGCATTCCAAAACACATAAATTCTGTGATGGCCACACAATAACTATATTTTTTAATTGCAATTAAATCATGAAAGGCATCTTTTATGCAAATGAGCAAGAAAACTGTATAATGTTTTGAATACTCAGTTAAATCTTTACACCACCTTCAAGACACTTAAGGTGGTCATTAGTTTATGAACAGATATGCTAATTAGATATGTTTATTGTTTTGTCAACTGCTAAGTTTAACTATACTTTTGTACAAAAATGTATATGAATGGTCAGCGTTAACAATGCTATATAAACAACTAGCCCTGGAAAACCATCAGTTTAAAAAACATTGTTTACTAAACACAGGTGATGGCGTAGCATGGTGTTGCCACTTGGTTGCCACAGCAACAGATGCACGATAGGAAATAGTCTAGTATTTTAGGAATATAACACTGTTGATGAATGTGTAGTACATGTATTGTCAGTATCACTGTGTGTCAAGACGATGACCAAGACAGTATTGTGTGACATCAGTCTGTGTTAACTGTTCTGTTGCATTTATGAAGGTTATTCAAATAATCATCAATGCTTTACCACAAAGACTCAGCACCACAATGGCCCACCTAATTTCTTTCATCATCAGAGTTAACGTGCAGATAAGGACCACTTCTGGCATTACTTTTAACAAATAAAACTCACTGTCCTTAGTCTTAGGAATGGTTCATATTATGTCCTTCAGGAGTGACTTAAATGCTTGGTTCATTTTGTGTTGATATGCTGATAATGCCCTCGTTAAAAAGGTTGTTTGGGTTTTGTTGCCTGGAACCACATGTTTTCACTAATGTCTTGTGATTTATTTTGTTTGCGGGAAGAAATCAGCAAAAATAAAATTCAGGGAGAATAAGAATCTGTGCAAATAGACATTACATGAACATGTGGTTACAGTGTTTATCAGTGAAAAATAATGTAACTGTATATTGCGTTGATTGTAAAATACATTGTACCTTGAATTTTCTCTTACATTGTATACTATTCACATATGCCAAAGCTTTTATTAGCTCTGATGATGACTGTGTTGATGTTATTGATTGTCCATCATTGACTACATCAACTTTTACATTTTTGATTTCTTAAAAACCGAAAGTCTGATTGCTTTGATTGATAGTTGGTGTATCTATGTATTTTGGGTGGACCTCTCTTAGATTTGTTCTTTTCATGATGAATGAATATTTTTGTTATTTTATGTAAAATGTGATATTTTTGACTTGACAACTGCACGACAGATTGCTTTGATATTGTATATATATGTACATGTATAGATACCTCTGGTGGACCACTGTTAGATTTGTTCAGTTTGTGACGATACTTCAGGGAATATTTTTGGTAACAAATATAATTTTTTATACTCAATTGCTTCGATTATTGTGTTAACTTCTAGGTGGACCTTTTGACAAATTTGTTCATTTTGTGGCAATATGTTGAAAGCAGGACGGTCGTCATCTGCGCAGGCGCAGGAATTGAGTCCCAAGCGACAATAACAACACACGCTAAAAATGCAAAGGCTCATGGGTAGACGTTTGTTAGTAAACAATGACAAGCAATGGCAACACATGCGCAGGTTACGACTGCCCTGCTTTAATTTTTAGCTCTGCTGTCCACTTTGTAAAGCGGAGCTTATCATATGACTGATTGTCCGGTGTCGTCAGTGTCAACTTTTTACTTTTTCTACTTCTTCTTGAAAACTACAATTCTTATTGCTTTGATACTGTATTTGGTGTATATATACTTTGGGCAAACCTCTCTTTGATTTGTTCATTTCGTGATGATATCTTTAATTCTCTAATTTTGATGAATATTTTTTGTCAGTTTTGGTAAAAAGTGATATTTTCGACTTCTCAATCAAACAGATTGCTTTGATACTATACTTATTGTTCATTTTCTAATGACATCAACAGTTCTTAATTGAAATATGCATTACTAACAGCGGAGCTACACCTTAGCCGACAGGCTGCTTGTTATTTTTTCGACTTCTTCTTGAAAGCTACAAGCCTGAATGCACTGATACTTGGTGTGTATGTACTTTGGGTAGACCTCTTTTAAATTTGTTCATTTCATGATGATATTTTCAATTCTCTAATTTTTGTTATTTTTGGTAAAAAGTAATATTTTTGACTTGTTAATAACTACAAGTCTGATTGCTTTGGTATTATACATATAGGTACTACAGGTGGGCCACTTTCAGATTTGTTTATTTCATGATGATATCTTCAATTCTCTCAGCTCTGCTTATGTATTCTTCTATAATTTTTCTGTTGATTTTGGTCCAAATTTGTGGACTGTCTTATTAGAAAATTTTCTGTAGTTCTATTTTTTGAAAGGTGACAAAAGTAGACTTTAAAAAGGTCAAAGTGCAGCTGATGTTTGTTATCAAATTAAATCTATTAAAGTATTGACAGTTTCAATTCTGGTAACAGTGTATGGTTCGTTTCTAAGGTACAGGGGATAATCACTCTTTTGTATTCATAGTAATTTTACATACAATGAGCTATTGTTCACGACAACCTCAAGAAACCGCGTCAAATTAGCATATCTGTAATATTTTATAACAGGATCTGTGCCTCAAATTCCTGTAGCACTCAAACTAATATTTGTTGTGTTGGACAACCTATACTTTGTTATTTTAGTGTAGGACAACCTATGGTAGTCAAGTTTGGAATGGTAGTCTAGTTTGGAATGGTAGTTCAGTTGGGAATGGTCATCCAGTTTGAAATGGTAGTCTAGTTTGGAATGGTGGTCTAGTTGGGAATGGTAGTCTAGTTGGGAATGGTAGTCTAGTTGGGAATGGTAGTCTAGTTGGGAATGGTAGTCTAGTTAGAAA